TCTGGGATGCTAGAGATTCCAGCCCATGGACCTTCTCTGCTCACTCAAGGCTTAACTTACCCACCTCTGCAGTCAGATTTGGTCCCATACTCCTTAGATACCAACCACAATGGCTGCTTACCAGCACCGCATATCCTGGTATTTCACGGGACCTTTACAACTTCTGCCAGCGAACCGATGGACGGGGGTACCCTACTTTCAAGCTTTCTCTTATCAAGTCCCTGCTCCGCCGTAGCTTGGCTTCTCTGGGACCTGCTTGCAAAATGGGAGACAGATAAGGTAGAAGAGCCTGCTGTCCTTCTGTGGGGAGCACATAACTGTTTCACGGTGGCAAGGGCAGGCCACACCGGCCAGCATGAGGTATCAACTCTGAGAAGCAAGGACTTTAGATGTACACTATCTCAGACATGGGAAGAAAGAGGCAAAAGTCCCTGCCTTAGCAGAGAGCATGAATAAAGAGTAGAAGCAAGAACACACTGGCCGTGAGGCGTGCCCGGTGGCCAAGGGGCTTCCAGGGTGGCCCGGCAGACTAAGGGCTGAGCTAGCCAAGAAACCTTCTCAGACAGGAGCACCCAGGTGCTGCCACAGGGATATTAATGGACTGCATGGAAAGAACCTCAGCCTGGGGCTCATTCCAGCCATCCCAGACCACTCCCTACTCCAGACCTCGGGCAATCTGACTCCTTCTCCAGGCCTTCACTTCTCTATAAAACTTGAGTGACACCTCCCACCTGCTTAGGAATGAGGCTGAGCCAGAGAGCTTGAAAGTAGGGACAAGGCTCGGTGTGGGGAGAACCTGGGAGCCTAGCTCCTGCTGTGAGTGACTCTCTGGAACGTCCTTACACTTGTCACTGAGTCAGAGGAAGGGACCAGGCTGGCAGAGGTTACACAGGCCCTACCAGTCATGGACAGAGAGAAGTTAAAAGGAGACAGAAAGGCTCACATAAACCACAACACAACCTCCTCCCACAGGCAGGCACAGATCGGAGGACCGTCCTCCTCCCTCTGCTCTGGAGGAGTGCTCCCTCATCTTCCATCGCATACCTCACGGCCTCTCCATGTCGCCCACCCTGCAAGGCACAGTGGGCAAGTACAGCATGTTTATGAGAATGTAGTTAAGTCTCCAAACCCTGGTCTCCTCCAGCTTCTGTGGGTGGCTGGGATTCATGACGTTTCAATCCATGGATCCCTCTGTCCCCTACCCAGGGAGGGCTTTGTGTGATGTTGGACTCTGAATCTTGGAAAGCTGGCTCTTGGAGAGCCTTTTCTCTGCCATGCTTGGCCTCTTGTTCCTTCATGGATGCTCTCCTTTCCGTATTTGTGCAGGCCAGGCAGCCTGCCCCTATTTACAGGCGTTTGTGCTCAGCTGACAGAGGCCCAAACCTCAGTCCTCGGAATAGCCACAGTGGTAGAAAAAAACATGTATTTGGAACAACCTGGATATAGGTTACAGCGCTGATTGTTGGCTCTGTGATGTTGGACAGGCTACTTCCTCCTCTCTAAATCCCAGTGCCAATGTCCTACATGGTTGTTATGAAGACTGAGAGAAGAGGCACAGAGCCCAGGGAAAGGTTCCGACAGACCTTCCCATCTGTTCACCGTACCTTATCTTCCTCAGTGAAAGTGACTATGTTTAAGCGATCACGTGTTGGGAGCCACCGTTGCCTGACAGTGAGGACCCATCTTGAGCTTCAAAGCCTGTGAGGTTGACACGTTTATCTCCCATGGTTGAAGAGCCGCTGTGGTGTTAAGAAGCCACTGGGCTGTACAGACAGCACGGAATGGATGGATGCCCAGCCATCACAACCAGATGAGAACCTGGTCGACATGTCCTTTTCCACCTGGAATGTCCTTGCGCCTCCCTCCTGGCTTGGATTCCATCAGTTATCATGGGTCTCCTCCTTCACATCTCCTCCAGGACACTTTCTGAACTGGGGATACTTTTCACTTGCAAGTACAAGAAACCTCTGTCCTAAGCAGGTTTAAAGGAAAATATAAACCAACCAACCAACAAACAAATAAATAAATAAATGGAGATTTTTGGTTCAAGTTGCCTCTATACCCAGATGATCTTGCCTTATGTAAGGCTGGATTTAGAGCTCAAATAATGCTATTACATGATTTTTCTCTAGATCTCGGGTCTACACAAAGAAATCTTTTCAGGCTGGGGCTTTAGGCTCCACAGAGCAGAAGGACACACAGCTTCAGCTCTCAGTGCTCCTCAGTTGCTCAGGCTTACACTTGGAATAGAGTCACGTTGTCTCTGACTGTGCTGACTGGAGCAGGTGCCCATAGCTGACCCAGTCGACAAGCACAGGGAGATGAAATCTGTGAACTAGTGGTCACCGTGTGTGGTCCTCATGACAACCTCAGCAGCTTTGTTGGATGAGGAAGAGATCGAAGCTGGCACAGCAGCTCTGTCTCACCTTGGAAGGTTTTCTGCAGTGTGGGGCAGCAGCACTCTCCGGATGGATGCTGAGACATGCTCGCACCGTTGTCTTAGACACCCAGCCTCCAGAACCACGAGGCAAATCAACTTCTAGTTATAAAATGCCCATCCCCAGTTTTTTTTCCTTTTCTCTTTTTCAAAAGAGAGAGAAAACATTTTAATTTAGTTGGGGTTTTTTGTTGTTTTGTTTTGTTTTTAGACAGGGTCTCTCGATGTAGTCCTGCCTGTCTTAGAGCTTTGATGTAGACCAGGCTGGCCCCAAACTCACAAAGATTCTCCTGCCTCTGCCTCCTGACTGCTGGGACTAAAGGCGTGCAGCAGTAACGCCCCCTCACCCCATTTTCTTTTCTTTCTTTCTTTTTCTTTAAAGTAACAGAAAATAGACAAAAACAGAAGTCTTCTAGTCCCAGTATTCTGAAGGGAAAACTGAGGCTCAAAGAAATGAACTGACCTGTCTGAGAACCATGACCTGTTGCTGGCTCCCAGACTGGCAGCCCAGGAAGGCGCCATGGGGATAAGGAAGGTGGAGAACTGACATTATACTCTGAAAGAGCCCACGCATCAGGGTGCATTCCCTGAAGCATAAACCAGACTTGATGAATGAGGGAACCCAGAAGCAATTTCTACCTTGAACTTGTTGGACACTGGCCAAGTTGAAAACTGGGACCCTTGGATTGATTGTAGTGGCTGTGGAACTGGCTGGGACAGGCATCTCTTCTTCCATGGAACCACTCCGCACACCTTTGCCCACACAGCTGGGGAAGCACCGTGACGTCCCATGCTGTGGCCGGGTTTCCTTCCCAGGAACCCTGTAGGGCAATCTGTTTCCTCCATCCTCATGGACACATCATTTCTCAGAAGGAATCCTGGATTATTTATCAGCCCACGTTTTCTCAGTTACAGTAACTCTTCCATCTCTCCATTCAGAGGTGACACCCAAGTTTGGAGTCTAGGTGTCCCCCATTCACCTCTACCACAGACTTCTGGATGTCTCTTAGATTGAAGTGTTCCAAGAGATTCATGCATTCACGTAGCTAAGTGTCTGGGGACTGTTTATGATGTGCTAGGTTTCAGAGACATGCAGGGGAACAAAACTTTCGGGGACTTTGACCAGGAAAGTGGTGACATTAAATACCTAGCTCTTACAGAGGATCATGGCTTGGGGAGGATGTGGGGAGGAGCCTGGCTGGACACCGGGGAACAACAGAGGAATTTTGATCCAGACAGGAGATGATGTGGCCATAATAGTGTGTGGGGCACAGAATTGGAGAAAAGGGAATGGAACAGATGTGGGGAGGGTCTTTGTGGGTGGGTAGAGGTGTTAGGTAGCAAGGTCCTTCGTGATCCCTCATCTTTGTGAGCCCCAGCTTCCTTGTCTATAGAACAGTAAATCATAGGATTAAAAATTCTGGAGATCGCCGGGCGGTGGTGGCGCACGCCTTTAATCTCAGCACTCGGGAGGCAGAGCCAGGCGGATCTCTGTGAGTTCGAGGCCAGTCTGGACTACCAAGTGAGTTCCAGGAAAGGCGCAAAGCTACACAGAGAGACCCTGTCTCGAAAAACCAAAAAAAAAAAAATTCTGGAGATCAAGCAAATATAACTTCTAGTTTCTTAGAAACTGGGCCCTACTTCTAAGCTAGGACATGAAGGAAGAACAGGGGGATTTAGGATGCAAGATGCTCCATTGCATTTGGGGTTCTTGACTATGGGACACTGAAGAGCATCTACCTGGAGTTACTCACTAGGCACTTGAAATGCCTGGAACTCAGGCAAGGGGGATGGGAGGGATCTGTTCTAGAGTTTTGCAGTTCGTCTCATCTTGATTTTTTTTGCTGATCTATTTATTTATTTATTTTTTAAGAAGTAGTGCTATACAGATTACAGTCTACAGGCATGCCTCACAGAGACGGATGGAGTCACTCTCCTTCAGCCCATTCTCTGAGGTCAAGAGATGCTCTTCGCAGGTCTCTCTTTATCCAACACTGCACAGAATGAGCATTCACCTGGATCACCTTCTCTGGACTTCATGACTCACTGAGATAGCTACAGTTACAGATGAGAAACCAGGGAGGCTTCAGGAAATTAAGTGAGTTGCCCAGGGCCACAGACCATCTGTCGGACTTCCAAGCCCATGCTCTTAAAACATATCCTCTAGCAGAGCGCCAGCCATCCAGTAGAACTTTCTGATAAGAAGATGTGTTTTATCTGCATTCCCTAGCACGGTTGCCATTGGCCACATATATAGCCAAGGAACTGAGATTTTCATTTTATTCAATTTAAATTTAAATTCAGTAACCACACTTAGCTAATGACAACCAAGTCTTTTAGAAGGCCATAGAAAGACCCAGGAGTTGCATCATCTCATTCAAAGTAGTTTGCAATGGGTTCAGGGATCTTCTTGAGTGAAACAGTTTCCCCAGCAGGCTCCTGAGCTCCACCAAAAAAGATGTTCTGGCCCTCGAGGGTTAACTAGATATTTCCTGCTGCTCACAATGTTCAAAGACACCAGATGGGAAAGTTGGATGGTACTGGAGGTGTGAAGGCCCCTGGTGGCTTCCGAGATGGGAAAAGGAAATGCCCTTTTGCAGCATCCTGGAATATCAGCTTCCAGGCTGGCATCTCAAGCAGTAGGACTGTTGCCTGGGAGACAAGGAACAGGAAAGAACACCCAGGGTAGGGTGCGGGCTACATCAAGAGCCATTCTTGGAGGGCAGTAGTTACAAACCACAGAAAAAAATAAGCAGGCTGCACTGGACACGGAGCAAAAGGTGAGGGAATGCTGGAATAGTTCCAAAGGGGGAGGGGGATGTGTGCAAACAGGAAGACTGAATTCAGGAGGGGAAGAGGTAACAGCAGCTGCTGGGGTGGGGGCGGGGCAGACAGGAACGGCAAGAGAGCAGAGTGGGGAGGCACACAGGCTTGGGCAGAAGCGGCACCCGTGAAGTCTCACCCGTGAAGGCCTGGGAAATGACCTGTTACCATGTAACCTCAGCAGTCACCATTTGCCTCTCTGCTGTCCCCTCCATGGCTGTGGTAATGACTTAGTTACTCTTCTTACCCAGCAGGACGATTTTTCTAATTACTTCTAGCCCAGCTCTCCAAGTGTGCTTCCTCCTGAATTTCATTTCCGGGCCTGTTGAATGCCAAATTAATTTTTAATCACCTTTGAGGTGTTGAGTTTAATTACCCAGATTGAAAGTGACAGGGAGAACAGGATGTACAGGGAAAGTTTGGGGGTTCTTCTTGGGAATGGGGAACAATGTATTTCTAGAATGCTGTGTAGGTGGGGATGCCTGGCTCTCCAGCTAGAGTGCTGGTGTATCTGAGAGTCGTGGTATGCCCCGGCTATGCAAGGAGAGAGAAAGAAGAGCAAGGATCCCTGGGTAAGTGAGAGCCTCGGATGGAGAGTCTTGCTTAAGAATGAAAAACCGAAGTTGGGAAGAATTTAAGTCCTAAGTCATGGAATGATGTAGCACAAATCTTAAAAGGTCTTGATAAATAAAAACAAACCTGGAGTCAAGTATTAGGGTGAACACTGAAAGATCAGAGAAACAGAACAAGCCACATCCAACCTCACCTTGCCAACTCCTCAGCTGATCTTGTTTCCTCAGACTGAAAGCCTCTGGATCTCAGCTAAACTGCTGCTAAAAGTCTAAAAGCTTAAAAGTTTCTAGTTCCTGGTCCTCACACCTTAATATACCTTTCTGCTTCCTGCCATAACTTCCTGAGATTAAAGGCATGAGTCTTTCCCAAGCAAGGCATGAGATCTTAAGTGCTGGGATTAAAGGCGTGTGTCACCATGCCTGGTTGTTTCCAGTGTGGCTTTGAACTCACAGTGATCTAGATAGATCTCTGCCTCCAGAAGGCTAGGATTAAAGGTGTGAGTGCCACCATTTTCTGGCCTCTATGACTATCTAGTGACTATTCTGTTCTCTGACCCTAGATAAGTTTATTAGGGTGCACAATATATTGGGGGACACATTTCCCCTTTTTCGTCTAAATACTAAAAGAAGCTTATAACTAATATAAGATAAAGTATATACAATAAGTATATATAATATATACAGTCAAGAATTACATTAACAATGTCCAGTCCATTAACAGAATGAAGCCTGATCTGCTCATCCACAGCCCAATGCTCCTTTTGTGCACCCCTCTACATCCAAGAAACAGCCTTTTATTTATTATTTATTATTTATTTATTTTGCTCCAGGTTGGCTTCATATTCCTACGTAGCTGAGGATTACCTGCTGTGCCATCATACCCCATTTATGTTTATGTGACGCTGTGGATGGAACTCAGCTCCTTGTGCATGCTAGACCAGCACGTTACCAATTGAGCCATGCCTCAGACCCTGAAAACAGGTTTTTTTATATTTAGATTTTTTTTTTACGTGTATGAGTGTTTTGCCAAAATGTATGTTTGTGCACCATGTGTGTTCAGTGCCCTGTGGAGGACATCGGATCTCCTGGAACTGGAGGTACAGAAGGTTATAAACCACCAGATGGGTGGGTGCTGGGGACAAAACTTGGGTCCTCCAGAAGGGAGCCATCTCTCTAGCCACAGGACACAATTTTCAACATTATTTAAATTTTTGAAGAAAGTTAATATTTTGTGATGCATGGAAACTACCAGACATTCAAGTGTGTGTATGTACATAAACACTTATTGAAGCAAGCCACACATGTTTACATATGGCTGTTGCCAACCCACAGAGGCAGAGGGGAGCAGGTGTGGTTTACATTGAGTGGAAAACAATATATTTACTTTTCAGCCATTTCCAGAAAAAAGTTTTCTGACCTCTGACCTAAGCCAGTTACAGGACACTTCTCTCTTTTCCCCCAGGCTTCCTTGCAGCTAGGAGTGGCCACTTGTTCTACTTCTGCCCCCAAAGCACTAAGCAGAGATCTGCGGGGGAGACTGGTATGAAGCCCTGCTGTTCCAAAGGAAAGGGTGGGATGTGGCTGGGAGCTCTCCCACCTACTTCCTTTCTGAACTGAGAGTTTGCCCTGGGGAGCCCACCAGCCCTCTAAGAACCCATCTCCTACTGAGACAGGAAACACAGGGTCATGAGCTCAGGCAGAAGGGCTGGGTCCCCCGTTGGCTGTGATCCCAGAGAAGAGGGATGTCTGCCTCGAGCACCTGCCCAGAGGCAAGGCTACATGCTACTTAGATCCTAGGAGTCCCATATCATCTAAGTTGGACTGAGAAAGGGCCAGCCCCTGCCAGGAACATGTTCGATCACTTCTGAGTGCTGGACTCACATTAGCACATGGAAGGGTGTAAGGGAAACTGAGGTTTCTTCACTGTTGGATTCTGGGGTCCTAGAGGGGACATTTCTCAGTGTTCCCTTATCCCCTCAACTCCTTCTATAGTTCCCAAAACATAGTAATCCAAACAATGTTGGATGGTTAGGAGGATATTTGAAGGATAAATCAATGGATGAAAAACAGTTACTAAGAGGCAGCTCTAGAATTGAAAGCAGCCTAGAAAGTCTGACCTGGGTATAAAGTTATTTAGCAAAGGAAACTGAGTTTCCATGGGGACAATTGGCTTTCCTGTGGTCACAAGAGTTAGGAGAAAAAAAAGTTGGGATCCCAGCTCCAAGGCTGGTCCAACTCCCTGGCACAGGCCTCTCCTGCCTCGGCTTCTTGGGCATTTCCTGAGGCAATGCTAGTCCAGTCTGGAGGTAGGTGGAGAATCTGCCATTACCTAGGAAAAAACTTAAAAGGAAACTTCATGAGTTTGGGCGACTGCCAGTCACTGCTTCTCCTTCACACCCTCCAGTTCTGCTCTAAGAATTGCCAAGAACACGTCACCTCCTTAGCAGGTGCTCAGAACATATTTGGAGAATGAATGAGTCGCCTTGTATCAGTGCAAATTCCTCAGCAAAAAGTCACAGGCTGTGAAATTTCAATAAAGCAGGTAAAACTGATGTCATATCGCCTAGCTTTGCAATAGATTGGAATGTCCATTCCGGTTTGCCAATGAGCATTCTGCCACTCTATACAAGCCCAGGATATTCATCACTTGCCACCACAGAACAGCGGTATGTGTGCTCGAGAGAGCCTCACTGTGCCAAGCATGGCGACGTAAGCCATCTCGTGTAAACGCCGTCGCAGCAGGATGGCCTACGTATTTATGTCTGGCCTTCTTTTATAGCTAAGGAATTTGAGGCTCAAAGAAGGTAACTTCTCAAAGGCCACACAACCAGTCAGTGCCAGAGTCAGGTGCAAATCTAGATCTGTACCTGCATGGGAGAAGAGGGCAGGTGGAGCATTGGAGATGTATGTAGCTCAGTTGGTGGAATGCTTGCCTAGCATGCTGAGTCCCAGGCTTATCCCCAGAACTGCATAAACTGGGCACAATGTCCCATGCTGTGTTCCGGAACTCGGTGAGCAGAGGGAGGAAGACCAGAAGTTTAAGGTCATTATCAGCTGTATAGTGAGTTTGGGGCCAGCCTGGGAGACATAGATCAGGGACAGGGTATTAGTGAGGGGCAGGGAAGATTTGTGGGTGTGAACCTCAGAACTGCTGTGGGCAACAACTGCTACCCTCAGACTCTGTGTGGCAAACATCATAGTCAGAGAGCTGATGGGAAGAGAGGAGCATGCTACCAAAGCAGGAGTGGGCAAGGCTCTGTATGCCCACAGGACATGTCATTTCAGCAGTCCTCTTCCTGGGCCAGGCTCAGTGGCTTTGATTGTGTGTGCTAAGGGGTGGGGTCCAGGCCTTGGGAGTGGCTGGGCTGGGCTGTGTGATGTATTTCCCATGGAGGTGCTGGTGATTCATTACCCTTCCCAGCCTGCCCAGCCACTATCAGGGTGCAACTTGTAAACAAGTCAGAAAATGTCATCTAGGCAAGAGAGAGAGACAGAGAGGAGGGGGCTTCAGTCTCCTGCCAACCCCAAATCTTACCTTGGGAACTACATATGGACCCACAGTAATCATAACTCAGTACCTTCCTCACCTATGGCTGAAAACTCCTCTTCACCCAATTTCTGAACTTTTATTTTCTTTCTGGAAAGTTCTAGAAACTCTACTCTCCTGAGCTGGTTTTGAAGTACAATTACTTCAGTGTGAGCCAGGGATTCTGCTGCCTGGAGGATACCTCTCAGGGTACTTCTGAGAGGTGTGTGTCAATAAATTAACCTGCGTGTGCCATTAACCAACACTTGTTGGAAGTCTGGCCAAGCCAATGCAGGCTTGTTGTCTAAGTAAATAGGTCTGGGATTCTCAGACCAAAGAAAACGAGAGACAGCCTAGTCCTCAAGACACCTAAAACCGCAATCACAGCAACAGCACAATTTGAGAAGCAATTAAATGTCGAATTGTGAGGTTCTCCCTTGGTTCACCAGGACTTTCAAAATGACAGCTAAGCTAAACAAGTTTGACCAAAAGCCAAACAGGATGGAAGAGTTGAACAACAGAAGCCAAGTGTCTCAGAAGGTCGGGAGGCTGAGGTCAAGATGGCCCCAGGGCTGGTTCCCTCCGGGCTCTCAGGGAGACTGTTTTACACTCCTGGCTTGCTTCTGCTGATTGGCCAGCAGTTAGGTTCTGCCGTTGAAACATTAATAAGATGCATTGTGTCAGTGTGTTCTCTCTGCCGTCATGGGCACTCTGTCTTTGTCCTTAGAGTGTGTGGCCCTGTGTTTTTCTTCTTCATAGAGATGTCAGACAATTGGTTAGCGTCCTGTTCTCCTCTTAACCAACCACCTCTGCAGAGACCCTATTTCCAAGCCAGGCTGCATTCTGAGGTGCCGAGGGCTAAGAGTTCAGTCCGTGAATTAATCTAACCAATAGCAAGTGGGGTTCTGCCTCCAGAAGCCGGTTCCACATTTGGATCTTACACATAATCTTATGCCTTCCCAGAGATTCCCAAGGAGTCCTTCTGAAAATTACTTGCAATTGTCCCACCCAGCCCTTTGAGGAGATACAGGGCGGCGGTGGTGGGGGTGGGGGGTGGGGGTTGCGGCACATTATCTTACTTGCTGTTCAGGTGTGACTGGCCCCACCCTGGGTGAGAGGGTAACTGTGAAGAACAGCCATTGGGAGATCATGGAGGAGTGAACCCAGGAGGGACAGAAGGTTAAAAATAGCCCCAGCAGCAGGGGTAGGTGGAGTGTGCCTAGATGACCTTTGGCCTTTGCGACTTTGGTTTTCAAACAGCAGGGCCAGAAGGTCACTAGGTCTTGATGACACAGCTCTCTACTGGCACCCTGGAAATTTCCAGCCCCGGGGAAGTGTGACCATATGTGGTGGTTTACTTCTCTTTCTCCTTTCCTGGCAGACCTTCAGAAGCTTCCAGAAACCTGGAGGGGGACCCAGGAGGACTTTTGATGTAGTCCTGCCTGTCCCTGTACTGTCTTTCAAACCAGCTGGGTGATTCAGGGAGGCCACACGTTTATTTGAGCCTCCACTGTCTCTTCTGTTCAATAGGGATGAGAAGGAGCTTCTGCCCTGCTGCCGAATAACCGAGGGAGGACCAGTCTGAGGAGCAACCGGCCTTGGGGTGCAGGAAGGCTTGGTGGCACTGAGTCCCATTAGCTCCTTGGTTTGCCCTTCCTTATTGCACAAGCATTACAGATATCTGGGAGGAGGTATTAGCTGCTAGATCCTTGGTACCCTGGATGTGGTTCCCAAGTGGGCGGTGCCATCATGGAGTGGTGTAAACAGTTCTGATTCTTGGGGGCTGGTAAGGTGCTCAATGGATAAAGGCACTTGCTGTCAAATTCGATGCCCTGAGTTCAATCCCCTCAGAATCTGCAGGGTAGAAGGAGAGAACTGACTATGGAGAAATTCGCCCTCTGACCTACACTTGCATACACGCACCCATGCCCCCACCTTCAACAAATAAATGAATAAATGTGTGTTTTTTTAAAAAGCTGACTCTTGGGCCTTGTCCAAGAACTATTAAACTAGAATATGTATTTTAACAAGAACCCCAAGAGATTTGTGTACTCATTAAAATTTGAAGAGTGCTACTTCCGGGGCATTGTTCTGGCTGTCCTGGGTCTATTCCAGTCCTCTGGTGAGAGTGAGAGGTTTTATTTCCTCTAAGAGGATTGGGCCTCTCCCCCAACTCTAGCTCCAGGCACAGCATAGGGACTGATCCACTCTTAAATTGGCCCACATGGCCTTTGGTACTCACTTCCAGAGCTTAGGACCAAAGGTGCTGGCTTCATGCATATCCTTCTACAGTTTAGGATGGAAGCCTGGAGCTGGGAGGCGTGTTGGTTACCACTACAGCCAATCCAGGAAGAGTCCTCATAGAGAGGAAGGGAACACATAAATGCGCTTACTCTGGGACGCCCTGCCGCGTGCGACAGCCAGAGAAAATTCCTCCTGCTCACACCTTCCCCTTCACAGACTGACCCTTTGCTTCCCAATCCTTGTTAAGACCTGAAGAACAGGACTTAAGTGGTGACCACCTGAATGAGGTGGATGGGAGGTAGGTCTAACCAGGCAGGGGACATCTATGTGGTGTCATGCCCCCCTGAAAGGGCGGGGAGGGGTGAGGGATGTCTGACAAGGCACATGATGATGACTAAAATCAAAACCCACACACCAGAGCCCTAAGGTGGGGCAGTTGGCAAAGGACAGCCTTTCTGGTAGGTGGTCCTGCCTGCACTCCCCTTCAAAGCAGACATGGGAAGGTGTTTTCTGGAATCCAGGCTCTGCCTGTCATGGGTTTTCTGCCCAGCCCTCAGGCTTTGTGCCTAAGCACTATCCTCTTCCGGCTGGAAGCCTGATGAGGGAGGAGGCACTGACCAGTGGCTGAGCACAGAGGCCAGAGCCCGGGGCGCCTGTTCAGGGCACCTCAGAAAACAGCTGCCTGGAGGCATGTGCTGCTGATAAGATGGGTGTTCCTGGGGCACAGCGGGGCTGAAATTAGTTCCCTAGAGAGTAACTGACCTCTGGGTTGTATTAAGACTAAAGAGGTTCCAGGATGCTGGCGTATCCAGATGAGCCAGCCACTCTATTCTCTGAGGCTTCTGTAGCCTGCACCCGAACAAGCAGGGATGGTGGGTGGGCAGTGAGTGGATGCTGCCAGGGAGGGTCAGAACATCTCCTTCCATAAGGTTGGACCTGGAGTTCTGTGAGTGAGGGATCCCAGAGGATCCAGACCTGAGTGTGAATACCTATGGCTGTGTGTGCGGGGCTCTCCTCTGTGTGTCTGTGTGAGGGAGTGAGAGAAAGACATGTTCCATGTGACGCTGTTGGGTGTCAACTGTGAGGGCTGAGAGAACTATAGGCTGTCTGTGCGAGGAAGAGAGAGCAAGTCGGCAGTAACCCTCACATCTATGAACCCACTATGTGAGTGCACTATGGGGTGTCTGAGTGGAGAATTCTGCTGCCTGTGGGACTGGTCTGTGTACATTCATGTCTGTGTCAGGTATGGGGCTTGTGAATGGGAGATACTGTCTCCAAGAGTCTGGGAGGTTGTTTCAGTGTGTTGCTGTTTCTGAAATAGGGTCTCCCGCAGCCCAGGCTCCTTCGAACTCCTGTGTGACCGAGGCGGACCTTGACCTTCTCCTGACTTCACTTTCAGGGTATGGAGGTTACAGGTGCACACTACCACAGCCAGTGTGTTTAGTGGTGGGGCTCACATCGAGGGCTTCCTGCACACTGGGCAAGCACTCTACCAGCTGAGCTGCATCCCCAGCCCCACCCAAGAGTCTGTTTTGGCATAAGCGTGGCAGACTGATGGTGGTGCTTTATGTGAGCCATGGGAGGATTTGGCTGGCGGTGAGATCCATGTGTATGTCAAGATAACACAGGTGGGAGGAGAGCGCTCCCAGTAATGTGGTGGTAGGGTATCAAGTGTGTGCCCAATAAGCAGATGGGCAAATTGAGTCCTTCCAGAGTCAGGCCATTGTCTCACCATCTACCCCAAAGGCAGGATTTCCTGTCCCAGAACTCAGATTGTCCTTTGGTTAATTCCCAGTTCATCATGGGTAATATCCACACCTAGGAGTGTCTGTTTGCCCCTGTGAACTCCTTCCCCCCAGTCAACTGTCTTCTCAGAGCTGAAGAAGCTGCCAGCCGCTTGGAAGCACAAAGCCCCTGGATTGCACTTGCAACTTTTTTTTTTTTTTTTTTTTTTTTTTTTTTTGATTTTTCGAGACAGGGTTTCTCTGTGTAGCTTTGCGCCTTTCCTGGAATTCACTTGGTAGTCCAGGCTGACCTCGAACTCACAGAGATCCGCCTGGCTCTGCCTCCCGAGTGCTGGGATTAAAGGCGTGCGCCACCACCGCCCGGCGCCACTTTTTTTTAAAGAGATAAAATCGCTGGTGACATTTCTGCCCTCCACTCCCAGACAGCAGTTTTTAGTTCAGATGTGTCCTTACGCCAAGGCCTCGGAGCCTCTGAGGATTCCTCAGCACTCTTGTTATAAATCTGGGGAATGTTAGAATCATAGCATCACGTGTTTCAGAGCCTTGGCCGAGTCTGGAAGGCAGTGAGGAAGGGGGAAGGTGCAGAGAGGAAGGGGGAATGAGGAGGCTCCGTGTCAGAGACACGGAGACATGGCTCATGCTGCCCACAGATGAGGCAGGGCTGTGTATCTTCTCCGTCTAGGGAAGTGGAAGAGTTTATACACTCAACCGGGAAGCCACCGCCAGGACACGGCAGGCAGACGGTTGGGCACCTGTGCCTGACTTCTAGGTCTACTCATCTTCTTGGGACCAGTAAGGCTAGAATGAAAAGCTCCACTGACAGAAGTGTGTGACAGCTTGCCGCAGATCTCCCAATGTGTCATTCCTACCATGCTCCATCCCTTCATCCTCAGCCAGGGACAGACCCTTGCCAAGAAAGAGAGAGGGGATCTCACCTGGGAGGGATGGTCAACACCAGGACAAGAAATGCTATTGTAACTTATGGGGATTCCAGTCCCAGTTCTTAACACACAGAGTCCAGCTTTGCAAAGAAGGCTACCTGTCCATCACCATTGCTGTCTTTCTGGACAAAGCGATGCCAGATGCCTTTCCCCTCTCAAGTTCCATTGAGGGAAACGGAGGAAATAAATTTCCTCTCAATACCCTATAGATGGACTCAGGCTAGCTTTCCAGTGGCTCATAAAATAATAGCAACATTTATTATTTGCTTTTGTGCCAAATACTGTTCAGCAGATCTTAGGCACATCTTAAGGACGCTGTTATCACCACTGTTGAGAAGAGAAAGCAGGAAACTGCCAAGCTCACAGATACCTGGAAACCCTGTCCTGAGGCTGGCACCTCAGCCGCTCACTGCCAGAGCCCTCCCATAGACTGCCCACCTCTTAGGACAAAACATTAGTAAGAGTCAGGGAGCGTCTATCCTTTGGATGCTGGACCACTGTGTGGGTGTTAGGAGACCTGAGCCCCAGAGCACATGATGAGCTCTCTGAGGCAGAACAGCCGGGATGCTGCTGGAAAAGCCAACTTCACTGGGGATGGTCCTGGAGGAGAGAGCAAAGTCTCAGCTTGTGCTGCAGAGAGTCAGACTAGAAGCCAAAGAAAAAACCCAAAGCCTATCAAACAGCAAGAATCAGGACTCTCGGCAGGCACCCTCGAAGCGGTAGCTGGTTACAGAATTGAGCCAGGCTGCTCTTCAGCCTTGTTGGACTTCAGGGGTCTCTAGGTCCGTAGACAGATCTGTGCTCTGACTAGCTGCAGAGCTTGTGGGATGGGGGACTGCTTCTGATTTGCTTCCATGTCTAGAGTCTGTGGCTTATCTTATTTTGTCCTCCTGATTTCGTCCCAGTGCCTGCTGCAGAGAAGCCTGAGCCCATAGAGCCAGACAGCAAGAGAACAAGCTGTCCCATGTTGTAGGCAGGGTCACTGTCCTGCAGAAGGCATGCAGCAAGTAGCTACAGTGATGGAGGGGTCTGAGGTACAACCCCCGCAGGCCAGCAGTAAGTGCCTCCTTCACCAGCGAGAACATGTTCTTTGAAACTGGGTGGAAAGCCTCTTTGCACTCTTGCACTCTTCACAATAACGCCGGTCTCCTCTCTCTCTCTCTCTCTCTCTCTCTCTCTCTCTCTCTCTCTCTCTCTCTCTCTCTCTCTCTCTCTCTCCAGTCTCCTCTGAACAGTAAACAAAGCTAGTCATTACAACGTGTCTTTAGGTCAATAATCAATCTCAAGGGGGTTTTCAGTTTATGATCTGGAGACAAAACTGGGGAAGACTACCACTGCCTCTCTGGTTGCACAAGAGGCATAACATAAAGGACCCTTTAATCTCACCCAGACATCTCTGGGCCAGCATGACAGTAGGTCCCCTCCCTGGCAAACACCCAGGCTGGTTAACCCGGGCACTTCACCACCAGTGACACAATGGAGCCTTGTTTACAGTTGTTAAAAGGTCACAGGAGGTGCAAGATGTCTTGAGGGCCACCAATCTTAGACTCCTTCCTGCCCCACTGTCTGGAGTTGAAAATAGGGACAGTCATACATGTGTACTACTCTGCATATCCACTGTGCACCTTGATCTGTTATGTGCGCTACCCTGTCACATTTCTCTGTCCAGGACCATGTCTCGGTCTTACCTAAGATCTCCACTGATGTGTTTCTCACAGTGCAGTGTAGTGTGAGAACACTCAAGCCAGAGAAGATTAGCCACAGGGAGCTGACTAAGGAAACACAGAACCACTGGGTTCACTCTGTCTCAATGCTGGGGTTTGTGGGGCCTGCTTGGGCCTTGCAGGATACTTAACCTAAGTATCTCCATCAGCTAGCTGCCAATAGCTGCCTGCCCACCTGCTAGACAACCAGAACTGTCCCCACACGTGGCTCCGGAACAAATTACCTGGCTGAGAACCAGAGCCACCGGTGTGTATGGCAGAAGTCTGGTATAGAGAGTGTTTCAAGCTGGTTACGATGGCTCAAAGCAGTAACGTAGCACTCAGGAGGCTGAGGCAGGAGTATTGCTTTGAGTTCAAGGCCAGCTTGGGCTACATGGTGAGTTATAAGCTAGCCTGGGCTATAGTTTGAGACCCTATCTAAAGGCAAAATGAAGATTAAAAACAACAAGAATGATGAGTGGTCTGAGTAAGAACGGCTCCCCCAGGCTCAGGTGTTTTGAATGCTCAGTGAAACTGTTTAGGAAGGATTAGGAGTATGGCCTTGTTGGAGGAGGTGTGTCGCTGAGGGTGAACCCACGCCAGGTGCAGTCCTTTTCTCTCTCTTTCTGTCAAGAACTTTTGGGTCAGATGTGAGCTCTTAGCTGCGGCTCCAGCGCCATGCTTGCTTGTCTGCTGCTCTCCTTCCAACCATGATGATCATGGATTAAACCTCTGAAACTGTAAGCAAGGCCCCAGGGAAATCCTTCTTTTATAAGTTGCCTTGGTCATGATGTCTCTGCACAGCAATAGAAAAACAGCTAAGAAAATGAATAAGAATAAAAGTAAGAACCAAATAGAAAACACAAGTACCAGGCCCAGGTCTGAGTGTTTCACACACAATAACTTCAACTTTACTGCATCCCCACTGTCTCTGTGAAGAAACTGAGACACAGAGTTTAATATAACCAAGGTGATACAGCTAGTAGCTACAATGAAGCCAGTAACTTTGCTAAGAGAAAGATGCAAGTAAGAAAATGGTACTCACAGTATGTTTTCATTTTTTTTAAACACACATATGTATACATACAAGTATCACAAAACACATGTATTAGGGGTCATGAGTCGGGAGATTGCAGAGGAATCTTATTTTACCTTTTTATATATGCTGTTTATGTAGTAAGGGGAAAATGGGGTCTCATCCCTAGTTTTGGGCGTGGGTATCTATCCCAGTTACTTCCTGTTACTGTGACAAGGCATCCCAACAAAAGCAGTTTAAGGAAGGAAGGCTTATTTGGCTCACAGTTTAAGGCACACACCATTTCAGTGTGGAAATCAAAGAACAGGAGCTTGAAGCAGCTGCTCACGTCACATCTGCAGTCAGGAAGCAGAGAGCGATGAACGCCTGTGCTCAGCTCCCTTTCTATTTTCACATGGTCCAAGGCCAGGGAGTGGCGCCACCCACAATGGGCAGGTCTTCTCATCTCAATTAACCTGATCAAGACGACCTCCCACATGCCACATGTGTGCCCAGAGGCCATCTCTCAGGTAATCCTAGATCTAAGTTGGCAACTGAGGTTAACCATCACCGTGTCCTCTGTCCCTTTCCAAATCTGGGATGGCAAGTAGGGCCGCTTGCTCTGAACCGAGGCAGACACTGATGGTTTGGGATTGTCCACAGACCCTTGTCTGGAGATGAAGGTGGGAATGTGGTACAGTAATGCTTACCCTCCCAGCAGTTGCTGGAGAAGCCATTTGTCATTCCTTTTTTAGAAGGTGAAGGGAAAAGGGAGTGTCATTTTATTATTGGCCATTAGAAAACCCCAAACCTGGCTGAACTGCTCAAGTATGGGAAGTGGGAGGGCCATTCAAGGTGACCAGCAGGCTGGGATGGGGCGGGTGCAAACACATCAGCCTAAGATGATGCCTGTGTTAAAACCACGGTAGTAGCAGCCCAGCAGTGGTGGCACATGCTTTAATCCCAGCACTTGGAGGCAGAGGCAGGTAGATATCTGTGAGTTCCAGTCCAGTCCAGTCTGGTCTAATGAGTGAGTTCCAGGACAGCCAGGGATACATACAGAGAAACCCTGTCTCAACAAATAAAAAAAACCAAAAACTGTGGTAGTAGCACCCATGAGATCATTTTATGAGAAAATGAAACCATAGATAGCATATCTTTTTGTTTGTTTGTTTGTTTGTTTTGTTTTCGAGACAGGGTTTCTCTGTGTAGTTTTGGAGCCTGTCCTGGATCTCGCTCTGTAGACCAGGCTGGCCTCGAACTCACAGAGATCTGCCTGCCTCTGCCTTCCAAGTGCTGGGATTAAGGGCGTGCGCCACCACTGCCCGGCTAGCTGGCATATTTTACTGTTGCTAAGATTAATGGTTGCAGAATAGAGGCTGTAGTAGAAATGGGCTTTGAAATCAGACAGATCTGAAATCAGACAGATCGAGCCCAGTTACGCTCGAACTAGCCCTTCCCTAAAGAGCTCAGAGTCCTTGCTGGGTACGGATGTGAAGGGC